TATGTTTATCAATAAAACTTTGAAAAGAAAAAAAAACACATTTCTAATCCTGCCCCATATTATGACTTTGCTAATTGGGGACCTGTCTCACGTGATGTACCACCTGGTGCCCTGCATTTTGTTACCCCAAAGACTGTAGTTACTTTTAATAAATCTTGTGTGCAATTTGTAAACTGTACTAAAAAAAGTTGTCACCGATTGTCAAGGTTTCTAAATTATTCTAGTCTTATAAAGTATCCATATATAACTGGTAATATCTTATTACCCACTGGATGGTTTTTCACATGCAATGGACATACTTTTAACTATATCCCAGCTTATCTAGATGGAGTTTCCTGTTGTTTAAGCAGGCTGACTATAATTCTTCCGTCTCAAGATGATTTGATGCTACACCATTCAAAAACATCATCATCCTGCAAGAGGAAAAGTTTCTAACATTTCTCTTCCTCCTGACTGTAATGATAAAGTCACTTTCCTGTCTGATGCAGAAGCCTATGCTATGATAATTAGTGTTGTTGGAAACCTATACTTTGATAAAATAGCAGAAAAACATGTAAAACAATTAGGTTATAATGTGGTCAAAGCTCTTAATGCCACTTCAACGGCCATCGCCCTACTCAATGCAGAACAAAAGGAGCATAGACAAGCTATATTAGACAATTGGGCTGCTATAGATTACTATTATTTCACCATAAAGGATGTAAAAAAATAAAAAATGTGCTGTTTTAACTTATCAGATAACAGCCATCAGATACAGAATCAAATAAACATACTAAAAGAATTATCTCTAGATATCCATCAGGGTAATAACTGGGGGGTTATTTTCAATATCCCCCTGGATAAATAATCTGATAACTGCTCTGATTGGGCCCGTGATCGTATTTCTTCTGGTCCTGCTCATTGGACCTTGCATAATAAACTGTTTGACTATGTATATATGACAAAGAATCCGGACGATTAAGTTAATGGTGTTGAGATCCAACAATGAGCCTCTCACACCCCCTAAGCAACTCAAGTTATGAGGTTTAGATAAATCAAAGATTTGATTCCCAGATAAAAACCAGTGGGGAATCTAAAGGGTTAATAGAGTTTTGTGCCTTAATTATAAAAAATTATAAAAACCCCTTGTGCTTCCTGTTATCTGCTCTAAGAAATGTGTTTTCCTTTTCGGCTCAAGGCTGTTCAACAATAAATAACTGTTTCTTGTCAAGGCAGCAAGCTAACACAAACTCCCTCCCCAACCTTCTCCTGTAACGTAGTCAGCTTAAGAT